TCAGAGAATTTTCTAGTTCCTCAAAGCATAAGGACTTCTGTGGAGCCCCTCTCCACAGAAGTTATGATCATTTTATAAAATTGTGTTTTTCTTTGTCATTTGCTTCAAACACTCCTCTCATTTTGGTTATTTGATGAATTATATATATATATATATATATATATATATATATATATATATAAATTAGGAAGAGATGATATATTTCAATATTTTGTTGTTATTAAATGGAATTTAAATTGATTGTCTAATTTATTAGGATTGATATTCTGTAGATAGAAAGAGATAGAGTTTAACACATATTTTCTTTTAGATTTGTTGCATATACACACACACACAGACACACACACACACACACACACACACACACACACATATATATATATATATATATATATATATATATATATATATATATATATATATATATATGGTATAATTGAAAATCCAAATTTGAAATTTCTAGAAAAGAAAAGAAGATAATATTTTTTTCGAATGGAAGGGCAAAGTCGGAATTTCACTTACAAGTTTTGAGCAGGAAAATCAAGGGGGAGGCATTAAGGGAATGTCATGTGGTGTTTCTGGTACTGTTTTATTAGAAGACAGGATTTCGGACTTATTTAACAAATTTACATATAATCTATTATATATATATATATATATATATATATATCATATATATATATATATATATATATATATATATATATATATATCATGTATCCTTATGAACAATGCTTAACCCTAACATTGTTCATCAGGTTACCACGTGGTTAAACCTTTTAATTCTCGATCCTTTCTTAAAAAATCAAATCGGCACATCGCCTCAATTCCTCATCTTTAATCTTCTTCTTGATTTTATCTACCACCTTATCTCCCTGTTTAAGATATCTATACAAACCAACAATACTTGATCTGAGTATCACCAGCCACCGCATGGAATCACAAACATGATGCCTTTAAAGGTCATTTTCTATCTCATGTTTCTTATTCTTTTTTATCGGAATATCATCGAATTCTCTAAATGTCACAACTAGGAATTTGGATGTCTGTAACAACAATAATGACAACCTTTGTGAACCAAAAATGTGAAAGCATGTATGATACTTAATCAATAACAATGAATTTTCCATCAAACGCTCTATGCAAGCACTACAACTAATCAACAAAGATTTGGAAACCCTAGAAATCCCGGTTTAAGTCCATTTTGGACTAAGGTTTTCCTATTAGGCCTATTGGACTAAAAAGTTTCCAATTCGATTATTTTGGGTTTAGAACTCTTAAATGGGCTCTAATTGGACCTATATACATGAACCTTAATATTTTGGGCATTATAAGCCTAAAATGAACTAGTTTATCTTTAATGGGCCTTGTTGGGCCACAACAAAGCTAATTAGCCCTAATGGATCATAAAAATCATCCCTTGATTTATTTTGGGCAAAAAATCACCTAATTGAGCCATAAGATGGACTTAAGAACAAAAAGCCCAATTTTCCTTTCTCCTTTCTCCTTCTCTCGGCCCAAGCCACACATGGGAGGAAGAGTTGACTTTAGGATTGCCACCTCCTTATTATATATTGGTTCTATATGCAATATACCATGTTTCCAAGTAACCATCTCATCAACACTCTCTCTTATCCTCTCTCTTTTTCTCTCGGTCGAAGACACACACCCACACACACATTTCATCCAATTTTTGAAACAAACTCTCTCAAGAATATCCTCACTCTTCTTCATCAAATTCTCGAGATTTAGGAGCTTTTCAAGGAGATTATTTCACAAAAATCATCATCTAAGGTAATTTGATGTTTAAATCTATGATCTAACTACTTCATTTCATCAAAAACCTCCTCCTAATCTGTTTAAACTCGTGATCTTATATCTTAGAACACATATAAGTTCGAGATCTTCCAAGAAGGCTTACTAGGACCAAGTTTTCTTCATTTCTTCTTTCTAAATAAAAAACAACAAACAAAGTTGAGTTCATACCCCTCTTTTTTGGTTTTTACTAGTTTTATGGGGGAGAATACAAGAATAATGTGTAGATCTATGTGTATGTGTGTGTTATGTATGATTTTATGCATGTATGTGTTTATGTGGTAAATATGCAACAAAAAGAGTAGAAATCTCTAGATCTATGCTATAAGAAGAACAATCAAACATGATCCAGGTTATATTACACTAAACAAGTCAAAATATTAATCTCTAAGATTATTATAAAAACATTACAACATAAAACTCATTTTTGGGATTAAATTGTCAAATAAACAAAAGTTGGGTGAAAAGTTGCTGTTCACGGTTTTCTTGAGGGTCAAAAGAGTCAAAACAGTTAAAATAAATGTTTTTGTGACAATAATGCTCTTCAAAGGACTTGAAATGTAAATAATAGCTCAATGGGCTAATTTTTGGGCTTTTCTGCCCATTAAGCCCAAGGTTGCGAAAAATCCGATTTTCAAAGGGCTAAAATGAAAATTTTCTCAAAACAGGGGATAAAAAGGGTTAAAAAATCATTTTAGGGGTTAAACTGCTTTTCTTTACCAAAAAGGATCAAAAATGTAAAGTTTTTGGATTTTGGTTCAAAATTGTAAAAGTTCCAAAAAGTTTCGACTTTAGACGTAAAATACTTTTCTAGAAGGGCTAAAACTGGTAAA